ATTAAAATTCTACTCATTTCTTCTGCCTTCTGGGTGATAGAATAATTAGCAAACAATTTTAAAAAAAGATTTATTTATTTTAGAGAGAGAGAGTGCAAGCGGTGAGAGGGGCAGAGGGAGAGAAGCAGATTCCTGCTGAGCATGGAGCCTGTTGAGGGGCTTGATCTCACAACCCTGAGATCATGACCTGAGCCAAAATTAAGAATCAGCCGCTTAACTAACTGAGCCACCCAGGCACCCCAAGGCAGTTTTGTTTTAGGGGGAAGGGAGCAGCAGAGGGAGAGAGAGAGAAAGAATCCCAAGCAGGCGCCCATCGTGGGGCTCAATCTCACTAAACCAAGATCTGAAACCAAGCGTCGGACACTTAACCGACTGAGCCACCCAGGCACCCCAGCAAGGCAATTTTTAAAATATATGCTGCTTTTTAGTTGAATGTGATTTTTCAGTAGATGTTCAGACAGTAGAAATCTTTTATTACTTTCTGTGACAGAGGGTGCCTACCAGAAAGTACTCTTATTTTACCATTACTCAGTAGTAAGGAATCTCACTAGCTTTGTGTTAAAACCTGCAGCACCATCTCTTCTTACCAGGTCTCCCTGATCTGCCCTGTCAGCTTTTCCACAAATCCGGGAAATCAGTCTGCTTTCCCCTCTTCTTTAAGGTGTTCTGACTAGTTATTTACTGGATTTTTTTTTTCTTTTGAAGCTGACCTCAGAGTAGAATGTAGCCTCTCTAGTTCTTGCTCTTTCACACTGGGACTGACATAGAGGTATTGCCATGTTTTGTTTCAGATGTTTTCATCATGATGGAGTCTAAATGAGGGCATAAGTAGGGAAGTTAGAAGCTTAGGACCTCATATAAACCAAGTTAGTTTCTAATTTTCTTTGGTGCTATGGACAACCTGTCTACTTGCTTCTCTTACTCAAGGTAGAGCTCATCAAACCTTTCCCTCTCCCTTCTAGACAGATGGTAGGCCTGAGGGAGAGGGTTAAATAAACCATAGTCATTAATTCCTACAGACCATTCAGAGGTTGCCTACAGACCATTCAGAGGTTGCCTTATCTCAAAAGAGTAGTTTATGCCTCAGGAGACCATGAAGCAGCTCTTCATGGAATCCCAGTTAGATATAAGAAAGAACATTCTTGATCATGCTTCTGTTCCTCTGTTATTTCCATTTAGATGCTTTCTGCTGTTTCCACTCTTGGTGTGAATTTCCACTTAGCAATGCACATTTTTAACACATACTCAACTTATCTTTTTCAGGTGAGATTTCTGTATCCTTATATTTTTTTTTAAAGATTTTATTTATTTGAGAGAGAGAGAATGAGAGATAGAGAGCACGAGAGGGAAGAGGGTCAGAGGGAGAAGCAGACTCCCTGCTGAGCAGGGAGCCCGATGTGGGACTTGATCCCGGGACTCCAGGATCATGGCCTGAGCCGAAGGCAGTCGCTTAACCAACTGAACCACCCAGGCACCCCCGTATCCTTATATTTGATCAGATGTCACATTCCAAAATGATCACTATGTACTAGTGCTGAGTATTCTGGAGAATGCAAACAAAAATATAAATCACATCAACAAATATTTACTAAGCACATAAAAAAGAAGTTACTCTTTCAAATAGCTTATGTTTCATTGGAATGAATTAAATAACATGAAGTAGGGGCCCCTGGCTGGCTCAGTCAGTGGAGCATGCAACTCTTGATCTCGGGGTCATGAGTTCAAGCCCCACATTGGGTGTAGAGATTACTTAAAAAAAAAATACATGAAGCAATTGGAGAATGTTACAAAATGCTAAATTGTACATTGGTACCAACTACGTAGGCTCCACCACTCAGAGTCGGTTTTCCTGATCAATGCTCAGTTTACCTCTGAGAAGGAGCAGACTTTTGTATTTCCAAAATTGTTGCTTACTTAATCTGTTACTGTTTTGCTATAGACAGGGTCCTAGAACTGTGCTCACCAGTGACCTTTAGCCTCCATCTCTAGGAATGTGGAACTGAATGGTACTCTTGCTCCCACAGCAGAGTAAAAGAAATGCACTGTAGCAAGAACATGAGTAATTCAAATATATTTGACATTTTTGGATCTTAAAATCTCTGATGAGAAAATATAGTTTTGTGTATTTGGTTTGGCTGTTTTGAGTTAGTTAATTTTAGGGGTAATTTTTAGAATTAGTTTTGAAGTTTCAGCATCAGATTGCTTAGTCATGAGGGATTAGGTGTAAAGCCACGTTATATTGAGAAGACTAGGGACTATTGCTATGTATTAACCTTGCTAGCCAGTAATATTTGAGAAGAAAAAAAAAAAACCACCCTACATTCTAAAAGGTTGAGCTGTTGCTATGTTTCAAAATCCGATTCGCCTTGATTCCTGATAATCTTCACTAATCTTTCAAGGAATCATCAGATGTGGTATATTTGAGAATGATATGTATTGAGATACTTGTTGAGAATGATAAGGCAACAAAGTCTCCCAAAGACTAGCATCATGTTTCTGAAGTTTTGTAGTGTTTTGCTTTATTTTCTGTACTATTTGTTGTGGGAGCATTGGTAGCTTTCTGATTTTGAGAAGTGGAAGAACTGGGTTGGAGTACTTTCCTAGAAAACCCAGTGCTTCTACAGTTTTATATAGCCTCAAGGGATCAGTAGTATGTTTCACATGACAATATAGACAGAAAGAAGGATTCCTCACCTCCACTCAACCCCAACCCTTTGAGCAAAGCACACGTACCTCAAGGCCTCAGGGAGAAGAAAGCACCCTTTGTTTTTCTAGCCTTTGAAATACCTTTTAGCATTAAGAAACTTGTGTTTCATAAAAACTGGTTTGCATTTCGGGTGCCAGGATTCAACTAATAACATATAGCCTTGCTATTTAGACAACAGCATAAAATTTCTTTCTTTTCTCTTCCCTCCGCCACACCCCTCTCTTTTTTTTAAAGCATTTATGCCATTAAATTTTTATTACTCCTATGTGGATCGTTAGGACAATAATCAGAACATTTTCTGCTTATTTTGTTTTCCAATAGGAATTGATAATGTCTCTAAGATTTATAGGAGTTCAGCCATTTTTCTATCAATGGTTGTTTTTGCCTGAATGTAATGATTCTGTACTGTTTGGGGAGAATGTGTACTGCTGAGGTGCATATAAAGAATTGCCATGTAACCCACACACTTTGCGTGCTATAGAACATTTTTATCTCCCCAGAAAGTTCCCGTGTATATCTTCCAAGTCAATCTCTGCCCTGCCAGGAAACCACTGTTCTCCTTAGCTTTGCCTGTTTTAGAACATCATATAAATGGAATCGTACATTATATATTCTTTTTATCTAGCTTCTTTTGTTCATTATGTCTGTGAGATGCATCCATGTTGTTGCATTCCTTTGTTTCGCTGACTGGTATTCGATCGTATGAGTATACCACAGTTTGTGCATCCAGTCCTCTTAATTACAAACATTTGGGTTCTTTCCAATTTTTGCTTTTATGCTATGAGCATTTATGTACAGCCTTGAGTGGACTTATATTTTCGTTTCTCTTGGATAAATACCTATGAGTAGAATTGCTGGGCCAAAGGGCAGATAGATATATACTTTTATAAGAAACAGTCAAACGTGGGGGTGCCTGGGTAGCTCAGTCGTGAAGTGTCTGCCTTCGGCTCAGGTCATGATCTCAGGGTCCTGGGATCGAGCCCCACGTTGGGCTCTCTGCTCCGTGGGAAGCCTGCTTCTCCCTCTCCCACTCCCCTGCTTGTGTTCCCTCTCTCACTGTGTCTCTCTCTGTCAGATAAATAAATAAAATCTTTAAAAAAAAAAAAAAAAGAAACAGTCAAACCTTTTTCTAGATTGGCTGTGTTATTTTACACTACTGCTGGAAAAGAATAGGAGTTCTGGTTGCTCCGCATCCTTGCCAACATTTGGGTTGTCTTTCTTTTTAACTTTAGCTGTTCTAGTGAATACAGGTACAAATTCTGTAAGTGAATTAAAATATATTTTATTTTGAGAATTTTGTGGCATGTCTTGAGGTAATTGGAAATACTGCTTAATTTGGTACATCTATTTTTTTTTAAGATTTTATTTATTTATTTGGGAGAGAGAGACAGAGAGAGCACGAGCGGAGGGGGGAGGAGCAGAGGGAGAGGGAGCCCGCCAAGCAGGTTGCCCAATGCAGGGCTCGATCCTGGAACTCCGGGATCATGACCTGAGCCCAAGGCAGACGCCCAACCGACAGCCACCCACGCACCACTAATTTGGTACATCTCTTAAGATTCTTTTAAAGTTTGGTCTGGGGCAAATGTTGATCACAACAGTAGGTTTCCAGGATAGGGCCCAGGATATTCTTTCCTACTAACCACGGCTGGAGTTTATGAGGGAAAATTATTGTTAATCCTATACATCAATTTTAGTCCCTTACGGTTTCCAAAATATTTTCTCACATATTTACTCTAGACAGCAAATGTGATTCCCATTTTATAGATGAAGGAATGAAGACTAGAGAGCTTGTCTAAGATTTGCCTAAGGCTTTTAGGGACTAAAACACACCACTTTTAGTTAGTTATATTCCACAGAATGAAAGCTGACCTTGAAATATATCCTGGTCATTGATTTGTCCTTTTCAAGTGGCTTCTAGGAATTCTGAGTCTTGTTTTAGTCCCTAGGGTAGATCAGCTGATACGGTTATAGAGATAACTGCAGTGGTGCCTTTCGAAGAACAAATACATTACTGAGTGTCCTAAACTGACATTTTGGAACTCTGCGTCCGATTCTCAGAGCCCTTTTAGGAACCCCTATCTAAACAGTTTTAGCAGTGAATATCTGTCATTGCCCACATTGTTGTGGTGAGGGGGATAGCACAGCAGGTAATCTGAACTGAACTGGGAAGAAACTTCATCAAAGTGAGTAATGTTTATAGTTATCCAAACCAAATTGCAGTTAAATTGTTTGAGCATAAATCCACTTTTGCACCTCTGTCAGATGTTAACATAAGTTGTTCGTTTTATTTCAGTGATGTCCTTGCATTGCCCATTTTTAAGCAAGAAGAGTCAAGTTTGCCCCCTGATAATGAGAATAAAATCCTGCCTTTTCAATATGTGCTCTGTGCTGCCACCTCTCCAGCAGTGAAACTCCATGATGAAACCCTGACGTATCTCAATCAAGGTTAGATGCTTCCTTATTTGTTAGTATTATTGAAGATTTGGTGGATTGCTGACATTTCATTAGGTGTACTTTTATGTAAAAAGTACGTCTTTCTAGTGTGACCTGTCAGAGTTGAAGCCTTATGTCAGAGATCGTCACTTTTATGTCATATTTGATGTATATCAGTGGCTTCTTTTGTTTACCGATTTTAGTTCCTATCTCCCTCTTTCTTTCTAATCCTTACCCAGCTCTGTTTACCAGTTGTGTGACCTTGGATACGTTACTTAAACTCTTTACATTTCAATTCCTTTATCTGTAAAAACAGGATTGATAATACTTTTGAGAATTGTATCAACTAATGATATAATATATGAAAACACTTAGCACTGTGCCTGGCATATAGTAAAGGATTATAGTTGTTACTAATACTAATAATATTATACTCTTGTATATTCAACCAGCTGAATTTTATTCTTTCTGAATCTTACAAACTTAATTTATGATGAATATAATATATAGTAACTTTTTCTTCCAGGACAGTCTTATGAAATTCGTATGCTAGACAATAGGAAACTTGGAGAACTTCCAGAAATTAATGGCAAGTTGGTGAAGGTAAAAGAAAATGAGTAAATCATTCCTCTACACAATATCCTTTTACTGACCCTTTTTGGGTAATGTTCTTTTGCTTCCATAAAGGGCTTGGTGCTATCTCTTAGCTACTACAATTTGCTGGCAGAGTGGAGAGTGGTAAACTGTTATTTCTTTGGAGTGAGAGTGAGCCCCCCCATTCACATGGATTTTTCAGAGCTGCAAAAACAGAAGGCTTACTACTCCATGTCAAAGGAGTCTCCTGGTTCAGTGAAGTTGTTTGGGGTGGAATAGAGTGACCCCCTTGAGATTTTTAGAGAAACTCGTGTCTCTTTGGATACGGGGTCTAGTAGCAAGAAGAACAAACTTCTGTTGATGAATAGCAGTTTTCTTAGTCTAGACTTGTAGCAATGAATTCACAGCACAATTGGGGCAGAGGAATTTGGTCAGCAGCTGTAAAAGTTGGTGGGAGGGATATTAATAAACACCTCCTCAAAGTAAGAATAACAAAAGGAAAGTTGATAGATACAACCCCTGCTTACCCTCAGTGTTGTATGGTGGGTTAGCAACTAGGGAACTTGGTGAGCTTTTCATATGCACCTGAAGAGCTGAGCTGGTTGTTACATGGTAACAGTAGAGACAGGTAGAAATGCTTCCAGTAAGAGTCCTTTATGCCCGGTCTAAGAGGACTGATGTTTAAGCCGCATTTTAAATATGGTACCAGTTAACTATAAAGATTATATCTGATGGGCGCCTGGGTGGCTCAGTTGTTAAGCATCTGCCTTCGGCTCAGGTCATGATCCCAGGGTCCTGGGATCCAGCCCCGCATCGGGCTACCCGCTCAGCGGGAAGCCTGCTTCTCCCTCTCCCACTCCCCCTGCTTGTGTTCCCTCTCTCGCTGTCTCTGTCTCTGTCAAATAAATAAATAAAATCTTT